CTTTCTTTCTTTCTTTCTTTCTTTCTTTCTTTCTTTCTTTCTTTCTTCTCCTTCCTTCCTTCCTTCCTTCCTTCCTTCCTTCCTTCCTTCCTTCCTTCCTTCCTTCCTTCCTTCCTTCCTTCCTTCCTTCCTTCCTTCCTCTTTTTCTTTTTGTAGTGGAGCTGGGAATACTGTCAAAGTGGGGTCCATGTTTTATCTTATCCCAGTACTGGCTGATTATGTTTCTGGTACATACTGTGGTACTGTTTGAGCCAAAAAGGGTAGCATAATTTCTGACCTTGGGCACTACCCCCGTCCTTAGTTCTCAACATCTTGGCAGAAATTGGGGTTATGTGGGCCTTGTGAAAGGCAGTTTTTGCACAGCTCATTCAGCATTGTTCAAGTCAGTAACACATCACTGAACAAATTGCTGCCTTGCATATGCTAATCCAGCTCCTAAAAGAACTCTGTAACATGTTCTGCTTTAGCCTGAGGAAAGATGGGAATTGAAGGGATGTCAGGTCATGTCATGTGGCCCCAAAATATCTAAAATGCCTGTTTTCTTTGGGTCATAAGTTTATACTCAGCATATGCTGATCAAAGTGTCCTGTGTGTGTGGCAAAGATTAGTCCTCATTCCTGCTTTTGTTTAAACTGCTTTTGCTGTTGAAGGTTTACAACTGGCTAAGATTTCTTTTTAAATATTAAATTTTAGGGGCATGGCTAACTGTGCCAATTCTTATTTCAACAGCAGATTAAAAGAATTTAAAAGTCCTTTATTGTTATGTGGAAAGTGTAATTTCCCAGTTAGGAACTACTATTACTCCCATGAGTACCTTTGGAGCCTTTTGGTAGCACGAGTAGCACAAGGTGACTTCTGGTCATAAAATGTGCCTGATAAAGGGATATCAGGCATTACTCAAAGGCTGTTCATATTCCTCCCCAAGAGGTTGCAGTGAAAAAGAATAAAAACACATCTACACATAGTCAGCAAGTGCCTATTTTTCCAACACTAAATAGAAGTACATTTTGAGTGAATAGGACCTCAAGGATTCACCAGCATTTAAACAGTTTGGTGTAAATTCAGGTTTCTTTTGAAGTTCTTTCTAAATGTTTACTGCTGAGATACAAGATTGTTGGTCCACTTTCTAAAATAATTCTTCCAGGTTGGGTTTTCTTGCATACAAAAAGGCCTATTAACCTTTATTAGTACTTTTTTGTCTTGCAGAGTAATTCCCTCTTGGTCTCAGACAGCTTAAGAGGCACAGATAAACGCAGAAATGGTCCAGAGTTTTCCAGTGACATCAAAAAAAGGAAGGTGGATGATAAAGATAACTATGTAAGTGAATAAAGGTATTCCTATGATAATTGTTTACTTACTGCTTTCTTTATGAGCAAGTATCCAGGTATAATGCTAGAGTGTGTTAATTCTTAATCAGTTCATACTGTAACGAGGTAAGTTCCTACACTGAAGGGTGCTGTTTTCCTTCAGGGTTGTGTATTATATTACACTTCATTTGGACTTAGACTTTTTTTTTTCTAACTTAGTTATTCACAAGGGAACTATGAAAGTATCAGGTTATTTGTGTGAGGCTATAGCACCAGTTCCTGGAGAATGGAGCAGGAGGATTATAACACCAAGGCCACATTGGGCTATATAGTGAGAACTTGTCTTTAAAAAAAAAAAAAATCAACGTTTGCAGACATAGTTTTGTGGTAGAATATTTTTCTAACATCTGCCAGGCCTTGGAATTGATCCCTAGCATGCTAAAGCGCACATACAACATGTACACAAACAAAACAAGAAAGACCAAATTGTCTTGGGCCACTTGCTTGTTGGCCTGGAAAGTAAAAGGGTCTATTCCAGAGCTGTGAGGCCTCTGTTTCCTGCTGGCTTGCCTAAGCCTTCAGCTAATAATAGGTAACATTTTGTTTGCCAGGATTAGTGCCAGGAACCCTGTGCTGTGACACAGATTATATAACCTGCCAACTTGGGTATCACTTCCATTTCATAGCTAAACTTGACCAGAGCTTGTGTTTCATCAGAGGTCATAGGTTAGTGGCACTTTGGAAGCACTATATTCCAAAACTGCTGTGTTGAAGCCCTGAACCTATTCTTAGAATTGGCATTTCCCTAGAGGTCCTAGATCAATCCACAGTTTATATCATGTTTTAATAAACATCTCAAAAACCAAAGTCTTTGGTACTCCCCAGTTTCACCCAAGCCTTTTAAATTTCCTTCTGCCTCTATCTGTTGCCCAGACCTGCATGTATTTTCTTTCATTTGGAACAGTAAAGATTAGCAGTCAAGAAGATTATCTGTTATGTTCAGATGGTGGGTTATTTGTCTCTATGGGGCTTGTATATTTAAATCAGCAATAAGGCACCTAGAATCAATATCTTGGCCTTATGTTTTTCTGGTACTAATGTCTTGTCTCATTAGATAAATGAGGTTGGGGTGATGTAATGAGATTATTTTAGAACATGTGGGAGGCAAAGCCTAAGACCAGAACTCTTTGCTGAATTATATTTACAGAAGGGCCCATTACAAAGCTAAGTTTCAGCTGCAGAAAACATGAATGATTCACTTCAGAACTTCATTAGAGGGGTAACAGGGTGCTAAAACTGAGGATCTGGAATCATGCAAAGTACTTAGATGAAGACAGTGTTCTACAGCAGAGTAAGATGAATTCTGTTTAGCACAGCCTTTTACATATTTATCAAGAAGTATAGGACAGTTTGAGGTCCCAAACAGAAGTGATAAACAACGGGAATATTAATTATCCTATTTTGGTCATTATAATACTATATAAGAATCTCATATTTCTTTTCCATTGAAAGGAATTTTTTTCCTAAATTGAAAAGGAGTCCAAAGGTAGTAAATTGCTTGCTATAGTTACCCATTTCATGCTTTGTACTGTGATCATTTTTATAATTGATTTTCTAAAAGAGAAGTTGTTCTGGTTTATGTTTGTTCACCATTTCTGCCCTTGACAGCTGAGAATATTTGTGCTTTACTTTGAAACTAAGAAAATCTGTTTTCTTTATTGCCTTTTTTTCCAATGAAAGTATTTCAGTAAATTTTTGACTTGCTCCTGACTTTAGCACTGGCTGTCATATATGTTGCTGGTGAACTCCATGGAACTTTTGTATTGTACTAGCAATGGTGCTTGCTTGGCTCTGAAACCTCAAAGCCTATCCCCAGTGATATACTTTGTTTAGTAGAATCAAACTCACCAAACACAGCCACCAACTAGGAGCAAAGTGTTCAGACATTTGAGCCTATGGAGGACATTCTTATTCAAACCACCACACTAAGAAAATAGAATTTTTTAAACATTGGTTTTGGAGTGAACTCTTATTAAATTGAGCAGCTTTTCTGAATGCTTTCCAGACTGAAAGTAACCATAGAATTTCCTACAATTAGCCAACTTTATATTCAGTGAAAATACAGTAAAAGCTTCTATGCTGGATGGCAGTGCCCTCCAGCTACCTCCATCTCTCCCAACCTCAGAGTAAAGAGCCTTATCTTTTCTTTTTAACTCTCATGTGTTTGGTGTGTCTGAATGTTCATGCGGATGCTTGAAGTTGACATTGTGTGCTTTCTTTGACAGCATGCCAATTTATTTATTTTTATTTTATTGAGTCAAGAGTCTTGTCCACTCTCTAGAGTCCATCTACCTAGAATGCCCAGGGAATCCCTTTTTCTGTCTCCTGAGGACTGGGATTACAGGTACCCTCTGAGCCTGTATGGCATTTTTGTGAGTTCTGAGGATCTGATCCAGTCTGCATGTACAGCAAGTACCTTAGCCATTGACCTAAATTTCATCAGCCACCCACTCTCCTTTTTTTTTTAAAGACAGGCTCCCTTACATAGTAGCCAAACTGGCTTCAGCTCACTTTGTAGCCAAGTATAAACTTGACTTAAACTTTCATGACTCCAGTATTGGTTTGCAGCACTACACCTGATAATTGTACAAGATATGGGCTTTGTCCACAGTAAGCACTATATAAACTTAGGTGTATCACCAGCAACCAAAAGTTTATTCTTTACATGAGATTAGATCTTTTGTTTTCTGTTACAACTACTGACCTCATGGGAAGATGGTGCAATTAAATTTATGTCTGTAGTTACGGATTGTCTGTGAGCCCCGTATTGTCTAGTTGTGTATCTTCAGAGTGATATGTATAAAAGCAATGGTAGTGTTCTTTACTTTAAAATCAAGTGGACTGAATTCTAATATGAAGGTGTATAAAATTCAGATTTTAAGTAAGATACTACCATTGCAGCCATACATTATAGAACAATATATGTTTTATAATCAAATTGAGACTAGGTAGCTCGTCTACAAGCAGCTGGCTTGTACTACACCAATATTCCTTTTGAGGTTCTGTGTGCTCTAGGTTAGAGGAAGAGGGTGGAAAGGTGGTGGTAAATGCCTATAGGCTTCAAGAGAACTTGCAAGCTTATCCTGTGTATTTACCTTCTCTGCTACCAAGAACTGTTGAAAGAAATTGAACTGTTCAGAACTTATTCTTACCTTTTATTAAACAAAACTCTTTCTCCAGGACAGTGATGGGGACAAGAGTGATGACAACTTAGTTGTGGATGTATCTAATGAGGTAACTGCATTTTCATCTCTTGAATAGTGTTGAGAAAAGTACAATTTTAAGGGAAAGAGTGGAATCACAGTGTCTGTCTTACACCTTCATATATTAAGAATTCAATGGACACTTATGAATGGGCTAGACATAGCCTAACAGAAACTGTACTTTTCCCTTAAAAAAAAAAAGTAGATTTGGGTATGTAGCTCAGTTGAAGAGCGTTACCTACCTTTAACACCTATAGACCTGTGTTTGGTCCACCAGAAAAAAAAAAAAAAAAAAAAAAAACTGTTTCCTAAGTCATTTTTTAATTCTATATTAGATGTCTTGTTAGAGGATACACCTGGTATTAGAAGAGATAGATTTGTTTTTCTCATGATATGGTCCTAGGTGTATTATAAATACTATCTTGCTCATTAAGTGGGCGTTATATACCTTCTCAAATCTAAAAGATTTTCAGCATTATTCTTTACTTGAGAATATGGAAAAGTATGTCTATTCTGAGCTAAAACATGTCAACTTCTTATTGTGTTGAGGACCCTTCTTCTCCACATGCAAGTCCCACACACTCACCCCGGGAAAATGGAATTGACAAAAACCGCCTGCTGAAAAAAGATGCTTCAGGCAGCCCGGCATCCACAGCCTCCTCAGGAAGCTCTTCTTCCCTAAAATCCAAAGAAGTGAGCCTGGTAGGTAGGAGCTGGTCTTTCTCTGGTTGACACTGCCATTTTCTTTTTGGAACATGGGACCCTGAAGTATATGAATTGGGGATTCTGCTGCTTAAAGGTTTTGTGTTCAAGTATTGAAAAAGAACACTTGCTGTTCTTATTCATTGTTCACCTTTGCCTCATTTGTCTCTTGGACCACGATTAGAGTGGGTACAAAAGCTTCTCTGTGCATCATTTTCTTTCTTTCTTGGATATGTTCGTGACTCAGCTCTGTGAAACAGTTGGTAGCAAATAACTATCTTGATTTTGTTAAGGTACTGTTTATGAGGTGAACTGGGCCTTTGTACCAGGGCATGTCACATCAGAATTGGTATATATACACATGAAGCTTGGGATGCATCATAGCCCATTCATGTGGTCATTCATTCATTGGACAAACTTTGTATAACTGAGGATGGTAGAACATGCTTGTAGTGATAGTCCTTGGGAGGACCCAGCAAGAAGGCTGCTCTGTAACTGAAAGCCAATGTCTATGCTACATTGTGAGACTACGTACGTCAGGGTGGTAGCCTTAAGGTTATCTCTTTATACAAACAGAGGAAAGCCAAGCCTGAGTAACTTATTGAGAACATTCTATCAAATCTTGAGACAGAGCTGAGGTTTTTGGCCCACTCTCTTTTCTATACCCTTGTACTTTTTACGCTGTGTTCTAGGGACACAAGGAGTTAAGAGATAAAAGAAGAAACCTTTTTTATCCTGTTACTGTCTCAAAAAAAAGTCATATGGCAAGTGATGTCTCCTGTCTGGACTGTAGATCCTCATTAGCTAGGTAGCCACATGGATTGCTTACCTCCAAACAGAAATTCCTTCTTGGCTTGTGTCTGAACACTGTAGCGTGGATGCTAGTACTTTTATCTCTGAAATGCTGATTTGTTTCTGAAATAGTTAATAAGTCCACTGTCTGTCACCATCAGTCTGAATCTCATAAAGGTGAGGCTAGAAAAAGGGTTCCACTCAAATTTGGAGGTGAGGTATGCCCTTCTAAGTGACTTGGAAAGAATCTCTGAATGGTCATCATTCTAACAAGGCATAGCGCCAAAGTTCACAACATAATGGAAAAGTCTTTTTAAAATAAAATGTGTGGAGGAAGAAGTCTAATCTTGCTCTGTGTGTCTCCAGCTTGAGTTTTAATCTGGCAGGAAGAGGAAAGGTCAACATTTCTCGCTTATAAGTTAATGCTATCGACATTGTGTGGATTTATGAAGATTGGCTAGGGAGTTACTAGAAGGTGCCCAGTGCCCCAGCTGCTGTTGTGATAAATTGTGTAATATGGCTTGGATTAAAAATAATACTCATTTAATTTGTTTAATGATACCAGCATGAAAAAGCCAACACGCCTGTTCTGAAATCCAGCACACCAACGCCTCGGAGTGACATGCCAACCCCGGGCACCAGTGCTACTCCAGGCCTCCGTCCAGGTCTCAGCAAGCCTCCAGCCATGGAGCCCCTTGTCAACCAAGCAGGTCAGCACCCCTTCTCCTGCTGTGCTTTGTTTCTTCCATCCCAGCTTGATGTGTTGTCTGCTAATCTCATGACAGTTTGCCCTTGAATGTGAAGCACTTAGAACTTTTCTCTTATCTCTGAAAAGACATGGTAATAGACCTGTTTGTCCTGGATTTTAGCAGCTGCACCAATTAGTCTCTAGCTGTTTACATTCAGCTTTTCTTTTATTTCAAAATAATTCAAATCCTAGGGATTACAGTAAAGTTTCTGATAATTATTCCAAAAATAATCTTACAAAATTTGTCATTGCATGTCTAATGTTGCTAATATTGACCAAAATGTCTGACTTTATAGCCATACTGTACATTTTGCTGCCGCCTGTAGTTGGTTGTTTTTGTATATCTTCAGGAATCAATGGTTCTTTCCTGGAAGTTGGGAGGGTTTTGCTGAGACTCTAGCCCATGGAATCACTCATAATTTTGAATTTGATCTTCCTCACTGGAGGAGCTAAAAAGTAACCGTTTGAGTCCAAGGGAATTAGGCACCAGAATGCCCCTCCTAAAGCCCTGCTCTGGTTTGCACAAATCCAGGATATGGTTTTCATTTGGAATTGGTACCAGGGAGTGGAAAGTTCGGACTGAAGGAGAAATCTTGGATTTTATCCAGAAAATCTTCTTTTGAGATTAAGTCAGGTAAACATGCAGTATCTGTGCCTTGGCTTGCCCTTTGTGAATTCGGTGCAAAGATGTCAATTAATCCTCCTGGCTTTCTGGTGCGGCTGCTTTGCCAATGAGGAAATAAGGGGGTCATGCTTTCTGTCCTGGAGGAAAGTTTAGCTCTGGGAAGGAAAGGACCTTGTTGGGACTGATGATCCATCCCCTGTAAGTCCTACCTATCATCATAACTAATGACTGGAATCACTGGCCAGGTTTGACATGATGATTATTCTCATCACACATAACATGTTTTCTTGCAGCAGCTGGCCTGAGGACGCCCCTGGCAGTGCCTGGTCCATACCCTGCCCCCTTTGGCATGGTACCCCATGCAGGCATGAATGGAGAGCTCACCAGCCCTGGCGCTGCCTATGCAGGTCTACACAGCATGTCTCCACAGATGAGTGCTGCAGCTGCTGCAGCTGCTGCAGCTGTGGTGGCCTATGGGCGCTCCCCAATGGTAGGTCATATGCTTGGGTGTGCCCCTGGGAGTAGGCAACCCAAAGGGTACAGGGTCCAAGGTGTAGAACTGGGGCAATGGGCGTCTGGATACACAGACTGGGATGAAAGGCACTGAGTTGAATTCTGGGTGCTTGGGTCTAAGATATATCCCCTACTTCCCTGAAGGGGATACAGCCAACCCCATGCTTAGAAGCAAACAATACAGATGATTATCACTGTTCAAGCCACGTATTTACCTTCCTCTTATAAGCCTTGCTCATTATTCTGAGTGTTAAGCTCAGACAAATGTCTTTTGTTTCATTGGGTCTGTGGATGAAAAAGGCAGTATTTAGAGGTTCCTTGGATAGATGGTTCCAGGATAGACATGGTTTTCTCTCACCAAAGTAATTTTTTTAATCTGAAAGTATTCAAGTAATTGTAGTCATTTTTGAGCTATTTTCCATTTTCTACATCTTAAGAAAAACATTTGAGAAGCCATAGCCTTTTCTTTCCATGCCTATATGTTCTTCAAAATGAACATGCTGGCTTATGTAAAAGATGTCATTTATGTATCACATGGACAGATTTTAAAACCATAGGGCCAATCTTTTCATGTTGTGCTGTCGTCACTCAAATGCTCCAATTTTCTTTTACCTAGAAGATAAAGAAGTACATTTGAAAGGTAAAATAACACAAAGAAGGGGAGTAAAATGCAACTCACAGAAAAATCTTTCCTATAAGTATATATATCATGGACAGTTTTATTTTTTTCTTTACCTCCTCAACTGAAGTGCCCTTTATAATCTAGTGTGATAAGTGCCTAATAACAGGATGGCATATGAGTCTGTAAATACTGACCTTGATGAGTGGCATGCAGCAGTTTTAGTTACCACATTGGGAAAGGGGGCAGTGCTCTTATTATCACTTGTGAATAGTAGCATTCCACAATGCTGTGACCTGCCCCCAGGGAAGAAAAGAATTAAATAGCCAATAGTATAGCTAGACTGGTCACTATCCTCTCTTCACTTGCTTGGTGAGGCAGGACAGCCAGTATCTATGGAAAATGTTTATCCTGAGAAACTGGTACCCAGAGTGTACAAACTGATCACACCTCATCTCCACATCACAGAAGAAAGTGTGTTTTGTGGTATTTAGAGGTAGTTGAGTTATCACATTGTACCTTTTTTTTTTTTTTTTTTTTGAGAATTACCTGCCCTTTTTACTGTGCCCACTTACATTGTTTAGGTGGTATATGGATTTCTTAGGTGAACTCAGTGTCCACGGAGTGTCCACTTCATATAAGCTGAGTCTCTCACACTTTACTTTTATTTCTAGGTTGGTTTTGATCCTCCTCCCCACATGAGAGTACCTTCCATTCCCCCCAACCTGGCAGGAATACCTGGCGGGAAACCGTAAGTACCTTTGTTCCTTGGTTTTGGTTTGTTTCATAGGTGGTAGTGTCAGCAGTGTACAGTTCCCAAGGGAAGATAGTCTTGGATGTCTAAGGAGTGCTAAGACTTTTCTATAAATAGGTGTTTTGTAGCTGTCATGCCTTTGGCTTCTTCCTGTGCCTGAGCTCCTGAGCTCATGTATTTAGTTATTTTTGAAGAGAAGCTATAGAAAATGAGTACCAGTAAGAGGAAAGAACTGAAGGTGTTAGGCCCTCCTGCCTGATCCTTTTGCAGGAAGTTGCTGCCTTGTGGAACTGGAAGGCAGTTGTCAGATTTTTTATTCATGTTGTACACAGGTGAACTGTCAAGAACTCTTGAAATGTTAGAGGCTTGGACCACCCTCTCTTCACCCAGGACAATATAACCTTTTTCTTATGTTGGTAGAAATAAGTTACTTGATCAGTCAGTCTTATGGGACACCAGTGTCCCAGTTTTGATAGGTGCTTTGCTTTGCCATATAACACTTACCTAAAGTACAGCTTTCTTATGGGTGAACAAGGAATTTAAAGGACACAAAAACATCTAGAAACACTCCATTGTTTATTCTGACTCACCAAACAAACAAAAAATCAAACCCTTCCAATGCTAGTTATTTGAAGCATAAATTCAAGGTATAACTGATTTTCTCAAGTTTTATATAAAGCAAAATTGAAGAATGTGAAGAACAGGTCAATATCTTTCCTCTCTCTCTCTCTCTCTCTCTCTCTCTTTTGTGTTTGTGGCTGGAGGACATTATGGACTGTTGACTTTCCAAATGTGAGGTTCTAAAGGGTATACCTCAGTCTTTATCCCACCCCTTACCCTCAGGGCATGTCTTTTCCTTCTATCAGTGCATTTCGGGGCAATATAAAGGTTATGTAGCTGTCTTGTAGGAAGAGATATGAGCTATAATACTGGAATAGAAGAGTGGTGTTCAGGGCATGTCTAATATAGACTACATTTCCTAAAATTTGTATATGCTTGCATTGTGTGCACGTAGTTACAGGTGGTCTGTGCACCTGGGCATGCCCATTCTGCATAATTTTCAGCAGAAGTTAGTAATATTCTAATTGGCACTGCTAAGTCCTTTCTTGGCTTGTGAGTACCTTGTATTTCTTCATGTTCAAAGCTGTGCTAACACCATTACTAGTGGCGTACGTTGCACAGCAAGCACTCAGAAAGAACAGAAAGGAGGATTGCAACTTTGAGGTAGGGTTGAATTTTTTTATCACAACACTCCCTGTCTGAACTGCAACAACAACAAAAACTATAATTTAGGAGTATAATATTCATAGAAACAAAGGCTATAGTAGCAGATTGTTAAGACTTAAGGTGTCCATTGATATCTGATTTGAGCTGCCACTACTAGCATGTATTAGGTGAGCTGCGTGAAGAAAACAAAATAAATTGGTAGTACAGAGACAGTGAACTTCCTCATTGCTAGGTTCTGATAATATAATCTTATTGCTTATGTTGATCCATTAGTTTGTATGAAAGAATGTGTTATCTGTTACTAATTGCCTCAGTGCTGCTTAGATTTATGGTGACAGATTGGTCAAAGAGTGGTATTTCTGAAACAGTATAAAATTAATCTGGAGACATGACACAAAATCTAAGTACTATTTGTTACAAGAGTCAGTAGTCATGAAATGACTGTCAGCTGTGTAAAGCTCTTAGCAACTGTGCTCATTATGATAGTGGCAAATGTTTACAGACTGCACTTTGAGCAGAGCTGATCTGAGGCTCTTAAGAGAAATAGAGACAAATTAACATGCCTTGGGTGGGGTGAACAAAGAATAAAATTTACGCAAATAAGTCTGAGAAAGAGCTAAGGGTTTGGGTAGTCCTGGAGATGGGAAAAGGTATCAATAGCCTCTTAGTGTACCCTGTATTTGCAAAGGACTCTCCAGAAAGAGAGCTCCCAATGTTACCAACCTTACGGGTCTGATAACTACCAACCACAATTCATTCCACTTGTGTTAAGTTAGGCAGAGCAGTAGATGACAGGCAAACATACATGAACAAAATTAGGATGGGAAAAATCTTCTTAGGAAGGCAGGTACACAAAGCCAAGGTTTATGTGGGAAGGACTAGGTCCACCAGAATCCAGGGATTGGAGCAGCCAGATAATGTAAAAAGAGGGGGTAAAAGACTCATGTGCACATGGATGAGTGCCTCCAGAGAATGACCTCCAAGTTCAGCTGGGCTAGAGGGACATTCACCTTTGTAGTACAAATGTTTTTGGCTTTATCAGTTTGGTTATGGCAATCACTCCATGCAGCATTATGCCTCTGAACAGATGTGTCCAAGGACCCGAAGCTTGTGAACATGAAACTCTTCAGGCCCTTGAGCTGCAATTTAACTTTGTTCTTACCCCCAGAAGCCACACTATGTTGCTAATCTGTCGTTGTGATATTCATAGGCATTGTTGCAACATACAGCCTTTTACTCACTGCTTCAGTCTTTTCTTATAGAGTACAGTTTGAGGTCCCCACGTCAGCTCATCAAGTTTCTAGGCACTGTCACTTCCTTCTCTTTTGCCTAGTTTTTACTGGGACCTGAATGGATGTGTGCTGGAGAAGAGGCACTTGTTCTACCATCTCAGAGTCTCCTCATGATCTTAGGACAGAGGTTCTCAACCTTCCTAATACTAAAAGCCTTTAATATAGTTCCTCATGGTGTGGTGACTCCTAACCATAAATTATTTTTGTTGCTACTTCATAACTTTAATTTTGCTGCTGTTATGAGTCATAAAGTAAATATCTGTTTTCCGATGGTCTTAGGCAACCCCTGTGAAAGGGACATTGAACCCCCAAAGGGATCATGATCCACATGTTGAATACAACTGTCTTAGGGACTAAACTTACAAGACTGACTGAATACACATAAATTGTATTAAGTTTTTACATGTTGTTGAAACTCCTCAGAAGAAAATAAAGTCGCAAAGAAGTATCAAGGCAGAGAGGACTCATAGACCTTATACAGAATGGAATGATGACAAGAGAAGGAGTTTAGATTCAAGGCACGGATTTCAGTGGCTGTGAAGGATTGGGAAATGAATGGAAGAGAAAGGTTATTTTAATCTCTTTCGGCATTGGTTCCTAGACTTTGGTGATAAGTTGCAGAGTGATAAATTTTTGGACTTGGTTTTATGGGAGGTGGGGTAGAAAGTCTCAAACTAATATGCCAGTGAAGCATAATTTAGGTGGTATCCTAGTTTGCTTTCCATTGCTGTGATAGCAATAATAGCTTTGGGGAGGGAGAGAGAAAAGGGTTTATTCGACTTACACTTCTAAGTAAACAGCTTCTCATGAAAGAAAGTCAAGGCAGGAGCCTGGAGCAGGTGTAGAAGGAAAAATCATGGAGGGATGCTGCTTACTTGCTTCTTAGGCTTATGTTCAACTATCTTTCTTACACCTTCCAGGACTACCTACCAAGGACAATGTAAATTTGGCAATGCTTGGGATTAAGCAATGGTGGGATGCTTACCCAAACCATAGCTCTGTTGAAGTGTCTTACCCTCTCAGATGCCTCCCCAAGTGCCATGTTCATGGAGCCCTTTTCAGATATGTTTTCACAGACATTCTCATTCTGCTAGCCCTTTGTTAGGTTTATGACAGACGCATTGACCTTGGATTATAGTCATGTGTGCAAGCCCTGTTTATATATTCTTTCTAGTAGAATTAAGGTTCCCAAAATTTTCTTGTCCCTCAAGCAATGAGATGTAGATAAATATTAAATGCGTCAATGCATCATGTTTATTGCATTTAATAAGGCTATGTGAGCCTGTCATGGTATAAGACCTCTTGATGTATCCTTTTTGAAGGGATGTGGATAATTTTTGCACTTCACAGTTTGAGTTCATTTTTAAGGGAGAAATCCTAGCTGTTTAGTCTATTTGTAAGAGAAAATCGTAACTTTATTTTTGAACCCCTGAGATGTAGTTGGTATTCAGTTAGCTTAATGTGAATGTGTTCCTAGTTCTAGGAAATCTATGAGGATCCTTGACAGAGAAACTTAAAAGTGTGTCTTTTCCTGTAGCATGTCCTTTCTCCCTATAAATAAATCCATGTTTCCCACCCCCATGACCACCTTTGGGGTTGTCTTAATTCAGACTAATTATAGTGTGACTTGAGATTGTAGGGTAATTCAAGTTATTTCTCTCTGTGTGTGAAGGCCAGGCACATAATTCTGGAGTCTTCTACCCACTTGTTTAGAGTTTAAATTAGGCTTTAAAGTTCTTTCTGGGATCTAGAGCCTAAAGGGAAAAGAAAAGTTAGAGAGAAATTACCTTTTAGGAAGAAACTGTTTTACAGTAGCTTTCAGCCAAGAGGGAGTTCAGCACCAACAGCTTTCATCCCATCTCCCTCTGCCTTCTCTGATGATTTGCCTGCTTTACATATCTAGCCTGTTTAGTGTATTTGAAAACCTACTTCTCTTAGTATGATTGTGTTAGGTTACTTCAGAGAAACAGAACTAATATATGATAGACAGGAAACCTTTTAAGAAAAATTGGCCCACATGGTTATGAAAATTGAGAAATCCCATGGTCTACCAACAGTAAGCTGGAACACTAGGAAATCTGACTGTGCAGTTCTGAGTCTGAAAAGGAACTGGGAGTGATAGGGAAGATATAGCAGTTTTAGCTCGAATTCTAGTCCATGTCTGATGGCCTGAGAACCAAGATACTAGTGTTGCAGTAGCAGGTGACAGGCCAGCCTAAGCAGAGAGTAAATTAACCCTTTCTCAGCTTTTTTTTGTTTGTTTGTTCTGTTTTGGCCCCTCAGTGAGCTGGACAATGCCCAGTGTTACCTGCCTGTATTGGTGAGTGTGGATCATGTTATTCTGTCCACCAATGAGATGCTAACCTCTTCAGAAACACCTCCCAGTCACAGTTGGAATGTTTCCAGCCATTTCCTAGACTGGGCAGGTTGACAAATAAAATTAACCACCACAGTGATATTTGGCTTTTGAAGTCTGTT